CCACTAGCCCACAGGGTAGCTATTTCTGGCCCCACTTTACAGATTAGTAAACAGGCATAGGGAGGCTAAGGGACTGATCCAAGCTCACCATGCTAATAAATGGCAGAACCAAGATTCTAGTCCAGATGAATGTGGCTCAAGGCCCCAGCTCTTAACACTGCGCTGGCTGTACCATGCTCTCCCCAAATTGCCAAGGAGCTTAAGTAGCTCACAAATTACTTTACCATAATATAAATAAAATTACTTTGCCATACTATAATATAAAGGCACTATGAGAAGCCCTTTTACTCTGAGCATGGTACCCCCAGAAATGCCACTTGCCTTTCTGCTCAGGTCTGCACTATAGCATGAAACAGTCTACCCAAAGACTAATACCTGAAGGAATAAAGTTCAGTTTGGTTAAGTACTAATAAGATCTATAATAATTTATACCAAACTTGACTACATGGTGAATTAGAATCCCAGGAGCTTCTAAAAATTCAGTTTATCCATAAGGTTAACAAAAGAAAAGAATGTATATATATAATTCTTAAACTACACGAGACTATCATTTTTTTAGACTATCTACTCCTATAATGCCATCAGTCCTACTGGCCTGTTGAATAGAGAGAAATAATAATTCAGAGAATTTTGTGTGTGGCTTTTTTCGTTTTTAATATTTTGAGATGTTGATATGTTATTAAAAGTGATTTTTGTTATTAGCTGAATCATAAAAGATAACTAATATTTGTTCTTACAATAACTCCTCTATTCGTGCTGCATAAAATCCAGCAACTCAAAATGTATACTAAAGCACAGCTTTGTTGCCTCCCTCGAGGCAGAGTTCAGGTTTTCCTGCTTTGAGCTCCCGCGTACCTCTGTCCACCTGTGGTGTTTGAAGGCCAGTTTGTGCAGGCCTCCTGTTCTCTACCCTAGACTGCAAGCCTCTCCAGGGCAGAGACAATCTTCTGAATTTCAGCCACTTAGCCCACTTCCAAATGTGGGATCAGTTCAGAGTCGTTTCAGGTGGAACTCCTTTGAATCTGTTAACTTCAGCAATTTAGTGTCAAAAAGTGTGTGTTTACAGACCAAAAAAAAAAAAAAAAAGTGCAAAAATACATGAGAAAAGACAAGTGTGGCTTCTCTGTCAGGACAAGCTATAGCAACTTACAGGGACGTTTCAGGAGGGAAGTGTCTCTTCAGGGGCACACTGAAGAGTTAAAGAAAAACACATCTGTGAGCACAGAGACTATAGTAAGCATAATTACACTTTCCTGCATAAAACACAGGAGGGAAAGCAAAAGCTCCGTCTTAGGGAATCACAATCTAGAACTGAGAAAGTTAAATTGTGTGTTTAATAGAAAAAAATGGATTACTTAGCCTGACAACAATTCGGAAACAGAAAATTTTTCATCTTAATAATGTGTACTTATTATCAACTCTCATGAGTATCAATACAAGTGCTAAAGAGAAATAAACTACAGGAAATAATTTTCTTCTAAACCTTCAGATGTAAATATCCTGCTAATGGCCTGAGACTCTTAGTTACCAATTCCAGTATTTTCACAGCAGTCATCACCCCCCTGACATAGCACCTGAAAAGAACTACAAAGACTTTGAGAAGGCTTTAAATAAAGGTAGTTGGGTTTGCTCCTGTTGATAATTATCACACTCTGCTAATTTTCATATCCAGTTAAGACCTCCCAATCTTCAGGTTTAGTGTTTTTATAACCTGGGTCCATTCACGCAAATTGTTAATGGTAGTAAAAGGTACTGGTTAGAAATGTTGTCTCTGGATTTATAATCTAGCTTTCAACTCACTAATTGCTTGAATTTAAGCAAGTTAATATTCCTAAGCCTCAGTGTTATTGTTTTTTTTTTCTTTCTTTCTTTTTTCCCTGTTAAATAAGTATAAAATCCTTTCCTCAGGAAATTGTTGTAAGGACACAATGCGATAATATATGGAAAATGCTTAGCACAGAGTCTGGCACGTTATTCTCAGTTTCCATCAGGTCATTATTATTCATTGTGATTCATTTTTGCTTATCAATATAATGATAGTATGCACCCTTACCACTACGTGTTGGTGTCCAGTTGTTTCTCTCTCTTTCCACTTCACCTGTCTTCCCCATCCCCCAGCACTACCACCACACACCCCATACTTTCTCATTTTCCTGTTTAGGGTTACAGGTGCAGGGTCCTGGTCAAATCTATTGCCTGTGATTTATAATGTATAGGGAACAGGAAGTATGAAGGCATTAGATAACCATGTGTTTTATTTGTTAGGCAGGATTTTCATAGAGAGCCCTTTAGTATAGCCTGATAGAATAACTTTTAAAACAAAATAAAATTATAAAAAACCTGACCTCACCATCAATTAGAGGTTTAACCAAATGGAGGCCACTCTAAATGGCGATTGGTCATGGACAGTCAAGAAACAAAATCGCATGAACATATGGGAAGTCTAGAGTCCTCACTGCTACACTGTCTTAAACACTAACAACACTTTTTGTTGAGGTTCCTAGCACATGCCTTGGACAGTGTGTGCCCTGTAATTGCTCGGACGTGATTTGTCTCTTGATACCCAAAGGTGGATGTAGGGTCCCAGATACCTGACAAGCAGTACTCTGTGTTGATCACCCCTGCTCACCTAACTGCCTATCACCTACATGGTGTTTGCCCGCAGTCAAGGGCTCATCTAGCTGGGCTTCTCTGGGAAATATTGCAAGTTGTAATTGCCTCAGCGAAAAGGAAATGGTAAGTTCTTCATAGAAATAGTCTTGAAATGTCAGACAGAAAGCAACAGCAGGTGCGTACAATGATGTGCTTCTTGTCAAAGAGACTATTAGAGGAGGTCTTTTCTGCCTTGCTTTCCTTCTAGCTGAGTCCCTGTATTATAGTTTTCCCAAGACTTCACACTATAGCTGGTGCTAGTGTGAGGGTCCCAGCGTGGCTTTCACAGTGTGCAGGTGTCTCGAGGCAAGAGCAGGCACTGGAGCAGAGGAACAGACCTGATGGGCACAAACCCAAGTCTCACTTCCCAGACTTCTCCACGAGTTTCATGCTGTGAGGAAGTGCTGAACAATTGTGGCAGTGACAGTTCCATACACTGTTTACTGAATATAGTTTAAAGGATTCCTGTGGGAAGCATAGAGAGAGCCTAAACTCATTAGCCCTATTGGTAGATAATTAATACTTACAAATAACTAGCCTCTACTCTCAACGATATTACAAGGGGAAGCTGTAGCAGGGTTGTTGCCGAGAGATCTTGGGAAATGGATTTTTCCATAGCTGGCGAGAATATTCAGCCTCTGGTTGTGAGGTTGCAGGATTTTAGAGCTGTAGAAAAAGCTGAGACCAGGAAGAAGAACCAGGCAACTGCTGGGCACTCTCATTCTCCAGGAAGCAAAAGTTGTTCTTATTCTGTTAATAGTCATGGCAAAATGAATTTTGGTTTTAGGGGCTTTAGAGTACCCAGAAATGATTATAATGAGCAAAAATAGAAGAAAGGGAAGAATATATTAAGTGATAAATCTGTAAGTTGCAGATCTCCTGCAGCATTCAAAACTGGAACCCCAGGTAACAACCAGGAAAATCTCTGAAGTGATTCAGAATAAGTCTACCACCCAAGGCTTAGTTGTTAATAATTTATTCTCTGGAATATTACATTAAATATTTTATTCTTTAAAGGGTTTTTTTAAACTAACCATCTCTTTAGATATTAGTTAAGTCATAATGTTATTATAATAAAGGCCAGTGTTTTAAAAACAAAAACCCAACCGGCCCAAAATCAAAACAAGGAATTAAAGAACCAAAAAAGAAAAACAACCGGGGAACAAAAAAGCCCAATTCCCGCAACCCCCCCCCCATGACACTTGATCCCCTCCAGTCTCTCTTCCCATTGTAGACAGAGTAATTTTCCTAACCTAGGAACCGAACCGGGCAACAAAATAAGGAAAAGTTTCCAATAACCCCTGGGGCCCTCAAGAAGAAAGGCAACCCCCCTAACCTGCAAAAAAAAAAACCCCCCGGTAACCGAACCCCGGTCGCCTCTCCCGTCCTCTCTCCCACCACCGATTTTTCCCACCATTTTTCATGCCAGTTCCGCAGGAAAAGTCAAAAGATTCACAAGGCCCCAGGCTCAAAACTAGTGTGAGTTAATAAATACAACTCACATGGCAGTTGATGTGCTAAAATTTAGTTCTTAGTTTTTATAGAAATTACCCCTATACACCCTTCTGAATATAAGATGTCACCTTGATGCTCTTTTCTTTAGAAATACAGAAGAACTAAAATATAGCAGTTTGTCGGTGAAGGCAGCAGTCTAGAGCTAGAGTGTGTACACATATATCACATGCAGGTGTAGGTGGATATCCAGTAAGGGTCTTAGTAATGCCTCTCCTCAAAGGAATCTCCATTCATTCTGTTTGCTGTTACCTGAAGTCTACTTATAACACCTCCCCACTGGATCAACATACTTTATTGCTGCATGGAGCCTTTTCGTAAAAATGTCATAAACTCTCTTGGGATGCTGATCACATTTTATCAGCTACATTGAAAAGCCTGGGTCTGTCTGATCTGCCTTTGTATTCATTCAACAAACATGTCCCCTATGTTTACCATGTGTCTGTTTGGAACCTATTATGGTTCTTAAATGCTCATTAGTCACTCAGTGACCATATCTCAATAACTCTGTTCCTCATCCTCACCCACCTTCTCCTCAGTGTCCATCCCAACCTCAGCACACCCAACTTTGCTAGTGAGTCCTTTGAGTGAATTATAGGTGAGCTATCACATGAGGGATGTCCTGCGTGGTTTTTTCCCATCAAATTCCTTTTAATGCACTCCTGTAACTCACGAAGGCTTGCTGGCTCAGGAGAGTCATACTCTGGAGAGAGCCTTGGGACTGGCTTCAGGGTAGGCACAGGTGCTGTCCTCAAAGCACTGCTGGCTGCTGGTGTCATATCAGTGTTGGGCGGGGAAGGTGTTTTCTAATAAGATATTCCTGTACTGTCTTTCAGCTTACATTTTACTACGGTGCTACTGATGATTGGTGTCCAAAAGAGTACTATGACGACATCAAGAAAGATTTTCCAGAAGGAGATATTCGACTCTGTGAGAAAAATTTACCTCATGGTTTTATCATCCATTTTTACCAGGAAATGGCGGACATGGTTGCTGACTGGCTAAAGGATGATCTGTCCAAAATATAAATCCAGACCCAAGGAAACAAGTACCTACTGCCAGTACATGGAGGCAGTAGGTGTACTATATTTAGTACGTAAATGCTTAATTTTGATGTTTGATTTATTAGAAAAGAAAACATTGAGAACCTCTTGGCTTAAAAACTACAGGCTCCTACCCGCCCGCCCCCCCCCCCGGGTTACAAGCTGATGTAAACACACTTGATGAATCATTCCATAGGTTGAATAACACATTTTTCCAAGACTCGGGGAACATAGTGATCTAAACAGGGTCTCATGTTTGCACAGAATACCCAGTGGCACCATATGGTTTATTTTGGTAGGCAGGATCCCTGCAGATAAAAGAAAATCTTCTGTCCTGAATTCAGCTTGCAGGTGCCAACATGCTGTTGCTCCTGTGATTCTTGCAATAAAACTCTACTGAAGACCAGCAGTGAGCCAAGTACTGTGCTAACCACTGAGGATAGAGTTCTCAGCTACTTCATGATTCTTTTCTTCTGAAAATCTTCTAGTAAATAATTTTCAAAATGGCATTTTAAATTGCTGAAAGCATTACCATAAATCAGTTCTCCATTTCTGCATTAACTTTATTTGTTGGAAAGAAATTATTGTGCTAATGAACCAAAGCAAGTTATGAAGTTAGGTGAATTTACCTGCTCTGGACACATTGAGGTCTGGTGGGGAAAAACCATGTTCTCTGGCCTGACAATATTGCTGCCTTCCGTAGATTGACTCAGTCCTGAGACCTTAGGAATCAGTAAATCCCACTGACTGCAGTGACGGTTCATGATAGATCAGAACATTCCATTTTCTCCTAGAGAAAATCCCTCATGGCATTATCATTCCTTAAGGACAATGAGATGTTGTCCTTCCTCTCAAAACCTAAATCTACCTAATGAAAGATTTGGCTCTGATATGCTGCCAGCCCAGTAATGAGAGTTGAATGAATATTGTCCTTTGGCGTGGCTTCTACATCAGAGCAAATGACTTCTCAGAGGGGAGAAGCTAAGCTCCAGACAAGGAGTGCTCTTAGCCTGAGGGGAAGAGCCGACAGGTCCGCAGGCCAGGGGCACAGGGCTGCACACGGTCCTGTCGGAGTCTGCAGGGGAGGCCTTCTAGAGATCTATTCGAGAAGCTAGGACTCGCGGCACTGAGCGCCTTCCATACAGGAGATACTCTGTAGTACTAAATCAAAGCACATGAACAAAGACAGGGGAAATCATACCTACTGGAATAATGAGTAACATTCATAGCTTTTCTTTTAGCTGTTATTTTACGACATCACTCTGTATTTCAGAAGTCTGCATGTATGAAATTGTATCTCACTTTTGTCTTTTAAAGCTTAAAAACGATATTGGCTCTTAATTCATGTTTATCACCTGAACACCAAATGAATTTTTGAAATAAATGTTTTACCAGCACTTATGAGGGTATCTGGCCTGATCTCTGTGTTGAGGGGAGAAAGATTACAATTTAAATGGTTATCCTGAGTTAGACTCAGCCCAAAGTCTCTCTGTTTAGGTGAAAAGCTACTTTCTCATTGCTGCTTTTAGAGAGAAAAGAATCATATTTCGGAGACTAAAGTTCATTTTGTTTCAGTAGGAGTAAACAGAAGACTAAAATTGATAAGCAGTGGGTGAAATTCATTTTCCAGAAGCAGTTCTGCCTGTGTCCCAGTCAACCACATGGATGGTCTTTGGCAGAGATTTAACTTCTTCTAGAGTTACCTAGTGCTGAGGAGAAGGCGTAAGCCAGGGCCTCAAACCATGCCACGTTATTCCTAGTCTGCTCTGGACCATTCTGAATCTCCAGAGGCAGCCCTCTCTGGTCACGTGGCCAGAAGCCCATAGCCACCAGGGCCCTCCATCTGCTTCTCCACTCAATCCTTGAAGAGCCAGTGACCTCCAAAGCCTTGATTGTTCTTCGCTCTGCATTATAGTCAGACAAAAGCAATTCCAGGTTAAAGGAGACTAAAGAGACATGCCAACTGAACACAAAACCTCATTCTGATTTGGATGTGTTTGTTACAAAGGACAGTGTTGGGACAATTTGCGCAGCTCAGATGGGGTCTGAAGATTAGCTGAGAGTAAGATACTGACTTTAATTTTCTGATTTCTGTAGATGTGCTGTGGAGAAGTAGGAGAACGTCTCTGTTTGTACTGTAGACACACTGAACTATCTGGGGGCGATGGGTCATCATGTCAGTTTACTCTCAAATGGTTCAAAGGAAAATAATATTCTCATACTTGCAAATTTTTTAGAAGTTTGAGATGATTTTAGAATTTATAAAATTATTTTTTATAAACCCCATCATCCTCTCTCCTTCTGCATCAGTCTCTCATTGCTTCTTTTCAAGAAAGTAAATTTCTTCTTTTAGGCTGTAAATGGAGCCCTGGGTTCAAATCCCAGATCATTTATTAAGTTTGTGATAATAAACTTCACCTCCATGGGCCCCAGCTCCTCATCTGTGCAACTTAGATGTTATCAGCACTTGCCTCAGTTTTTTGAATTTCAGGAGAGTTTTTTGTTTGTTTTTAATGGGGATAAAATGAAGTCACGCATATAGCATTTAGCATCTTGCCAGGCATATGGCAAATGCTCTATAAAATAGTACCTTAAAGGAGAAGGATAGCAAACTGTTTTTCCTCTAATTTCTCTTCTCTGTGGTGCAGTGGAGGAGCCCATGATATCTCACTGTCCACGTTGTTTCACCCAGCCTGTAACTTGATTCTTGCAGACTTAGCATTTCTGGCTCATATGCAGGGACGACGTGTGCTCACCTGGCTCAGCTTCCTGACCTTAGGCCATGCAGGCTTCCCCATGCACAGCCCAGGATGCTCCAACAGTCGATTTAGAAAAGATGCAGAGAGCAAAGCAGTTCTTAGATAGCATGAGACATCTTCTTTGTCCCTGGCCTTCTCTTGCAGGAGAGGACAGGTGAGGATATACTGGGGCTGCTCCTTCCCTGGGGGTGGGGCTAACGGAGAGGTGGGAGGCTGGGACTGAGTGCGCTCTGTGAAGAAACCTGTCTGTGAGGCGGCGAACGAAGCCTCCTGCACCAGTGCTGAGGACAGAGCTTATATGAGCATCCATTTAATCACTTTGTAAGGGGACTGAGATTCCTGCCTGTGCCCCACGCAGATGGAGGTAAGTGATCACATTGGTCCAGGAGGGCAGCGGCTGTGGGACATGGGTCTGGCCCCTCCCACCAGGCTGGAGGCATCTCCAGAGCAAGACTGCTGTCACCAAGTGTAATACCAGGCAAGCATCCTCAGAGCTCGAGCAAGAGCCAGAGAAAGCTCTGGGTTGCCACAGTTCTATAAAGAAAGCTCCTGGGGAAGAGGGAGGGGGAGGAAGAGGCTACCCCTAGTCCTAGAAGGACAGATAGAACTTGGGTGGGTTTGGAACAGAGGAGAGCAAGTCCACATAAAGCAGCTGCTGCTCACGCCTGCACTTGCACAGTGTTTCATTTAGCCATCCCAATCTTGTAAGGTTGTGACTGTGCCCATTGTACAGATTACCACCGAGGTGCTTAGCTCAAGATCTCACAGCTAGTGGATGATACAGCTGGGTTTCTGCTATGTTTTGAATGTGTCCCCCAAAGTTCGTGTGTTAGAAACTTAATCTCCAATGCAACTGTGTTGGGCAGTGGGTCATCATGGGAGGTGTTTAAGTCTTGAGATGCCACCCTTGTGACTAGATTAATTCTGAGTATAGAACAGCTTGAAGCTGTGAGTTTGATCTCCTGCTCTCTCATGCACTCTTGCCCTTCCACCTTTTGCCATGGGGTGACAGCACAAAGGCCCTCACCAGATGCCAACCCCTTGATCTTGGACTTGCCAGCCTCCAGAACTGTAAGAAATCTACTCTTATAAAACTATAATAAATCTATTCTTTATAAGTTACCCAGTCTTGGATATTTTGTTACAGCAACAGAAAATGGACTAAGACAAATGACAGTTCAGGCCTCGACCAGAGGCACCACTTCATCCCCTTCTGTCCACTGCATCATGCTGCCTCCAGGGGGCCAACTGTGGGCACACCCAGCCAAAGAGCAGAGTGGGGAAAGGGGGTCACAGGAAGGGCAAATGAGGGCCCATTTGACGGGGGAGGTGAAGAGTAGATAGCTGAAACAACTGAGTAGTTCTGAAAGAATGAAAGCTGTAACAGGGACTGGTTTTCAGGGGGAAAAAATGCAAAAATGCATCAGGCAGTGGACTGAGAGAAAGCAATGCCACATGCTGGGCATCAATGCTGTGGCTGCTGTCACATGCCCTGACCTCTGCAACTCCTCCGTAGCCACCTGATGCTCCATGGAAACTCCTATCGGGCTCTTCCGTATGGGAATCACTGCTCCAACTTTGGTAACACCCATCCTCTACCCCACCCCAAGATGCGACCAAAATGCCACCTGCTCCCGCCTCCCAGAGCAGTCCCTCCCTCCCTCCCAGCCTTCATGACCCCTGGCTTGTCTCCACTGCAGCACTTCCCATTACTGCAGGAGCCATATCTGGACCAGTCTGCCCCTCCCTGCCCTACCACCCACGCCCTTCCTGTCTTCAGGAGAGTCCTGGAAGATGGACTTCTGTCTTCGTCATCTCTATACTCTCAGGGCTTATGGAATAGGGCCTGCCACATAGAATATTCTATAAATTTTGTTAACCTAAATAAAAGTTTCTACCATACCTAATGGATCGCATTTCTCAAGAAATGCAATTCTCACAGTTGGTCAGACTACCAGGAAATCACATCTCAGTGCCCCTTCATCCTCAAAACTGAGCTGTCAGTGGAAGCATGGACATGGACACTTGCTCTTTTATCCCTTAAGCCTGCGGTCCCCAACCCCCAGGCTGTAGACCACTACCAGTCCATGGCCTGTCACGAACTGGGCCGCACAGCAGGAGGTGAGTGGCGGGCGCTCCCCATCACTCGCATCACCGCATAAGCTCCACCTCCTGTCAGATCAGCAGTGGCATTAGGTTCTCATAGGAGCTCGAAGCCTACTGTAAACTGCGCATGCGAGGGATCTAGGTTCCTTGCTCATGAGAATCCAGTGCTGATGATCTGAGGTGGAGCTGAGGCGGTGATGCTAGCGCTGGGGAGTGGCTGTAAACACAGATTATCATTAGCAGCGAGGTTTGAGTACACAATAAATGTAATGCGCTTGAATCATCCCCAAACCATCCTCTTCCCTCCCCTCCCCTGCAGTCTGTGGAAAAATTATCTTCCATGAAACCAGTCCCAGTGCCAAAAAGATTGAGGACCACTGCCTTAAGTATTTCCCCAGGCAGAGCTGTGCAGGAGTGGGTCAGACAGATTCAAAGACATCGACTGTTCAAGTCTGGCATTGGGGACTGCAAAAAATCAAGGTCACTATAGCTCACGTCCCATTCCTCTTGCCCAGTATGGCTGCAACTGTTACTTCCATTCTTCCACGATTAGAAAACCTCTGGAGCTTGGGTATTAGCAGCTACCAAATATGTGGTTTATTATTTGTAAGCGCTAACCCCGTGCAGCACCCCAAGTGGGAATTACAGCAACAATACACAAGACCGTGCTCTAGCATAGTGGAGATTTTCATTTTGTATTGCATTCCTCAAACATTCTGGCAAAGGGGCCTGTGCTGACCTCCCCACGTTGGGACAGATTTCCTTACTGGGTAAGTCTCTGGGAAAATTCCTCTTCCCTGGGATGGAAACGTGACCCTGTGACTGGGCGTGCATTACAGCCAGGGGGTGCAGTGCACCTGCAGGGTCTCCCTCCCTCACGGAGGGCCTAGCATGCCGCCTCTGCAAATCCACCCTGCTCAGGCTCTGCAGAACATCTGCGCCTCCTCCTACTGGCCACTGCGAAGGGCTGCGCACCTGCATGTGATTAGGACTCGGCAGACACCCACAGCCTACGGTCGGTGGCTGCACACTGGTGACACGTCGCAGTGGACAAGATTCTCCCAGATGGCTGTTCTGAGCAGCTGTGTGGAGGGCTCCTAGGGCACAGGAGCACCACCCTCAGCGGAGTGGCACTTAGAGGCATCTTTGCCTCGCCCTTGAGAGTGAGCAGCCAGCAGGGGCAAACCCAGGGCACTCCAGGGCCAGGGAGGGAGCAGAGCAGTCCGTCTTAGCCTCCTTGCTCTCATCAGTGTTTGGCAAATTGGGTAAAATTTTAAATGCCACCCCTGACTTCTTTTTCTCCCTGTAACCATCCCTTCTCTACTGAATGGGTAATATTCTAACCACAGAATGCCGGGGTAGGTGAAGTAGAGACTGGAAAATGAGACAAGGGAAAAATGGGCCAGAGACTGTTAGAGACGAAGCATGACAAGGCATGACACTTTGCAGTGGCAGGGCCGTAGAGCTTACACATTTATTCTACCTGCCAAATGAGCTAGTTGAAAGGGGAACACAATTTTTCTTGCAGTGAAAGAG